ACATATTTTGGGAGATATTATATGTTGCTGTTTCGCGTATAACTACTAGAAGGGAGTTGAAGATATTAGTTTGTGAGAATGAAAAGTTGCCCAATAATCAAACTCATAATATTGTGTACAAAGAGGTCTTTAATAATATATGATTGTTTTTTTGTGGAATAATATTTTTATTGTACAATTTTCCTCCGTATTGTAAAACTTTTATATTGCATATTGCATCTTATAATATAATAATCCCAAAGTTAATATATCCTGTTTCGCACAGGTTACGTACTATATATATCCCGTAATTTTTTTGTTCTTTATTTATATACTTATAAGGCTGGATAAGTGTCCAAAAAACTGTACATCCCGTGCATCGCACGGGCTCTGTACTAGTTTACAAATAAAAAGAAAGAACAAATAAATTATTTGCAAGTGCAACTATGGAAGCATTAACCTTTGAAAAGTCAAATTCACAAGATAGCGAAATGAGAAAATAAGGTATACACACATAAAATAAGCATAATAAAGAATATATAAAATAAAAAGATCACAATAATATGTAATGAAAATAAAACTTACACAAGGTATCAAAATAAATAAGTAAAATAATAGAGCATGAAAATGATATGGGATACAAAGTTGTGTTAGAAAGAAAAAAAAAAAGAGCGTGAAAAGTGTCACATAAGTCCAGCAAAATCTCACCAATATTGATGAGATTTCTGTTGAGACTTTTCCTTTGTAATTTTGTTACAAAAGTCTCCAAAAGTCTCAAAATTTAAAAAGTCTCACAAAGTCTTTCTGTTTTGAATATCGGGTGACTTATAAAGACTCTCAGAATGTTTTAATTGAATACCCTGAGACTTTTAGAGACTTATTAAAAGTCATTAAAAGTCTCAATTGAATACATGTAAACTTTTTAGAAGTCTTTAAAAGTTCTAATTGAATACACCAAAATTCTAAAAGTCTTAAAAATCTCTAAAAGTTGCAATTGAATACAACCCCCTTAACAAAGGTACAAAGAATCCTAAATGAATTGAATTATTAGATTCTTAAATGAATGTTTACTTATAATTTGTTAATTTGGATAACATTTCAGTTTTCAAGAGTCTTTTTAATACAAATCTCTACTTATTCAACAAGATACAAAGATTCATAAAATGCATTGAACCTAATTATGGAGCATTTTTTTAGATTTTTAAATATTGTTTTAATTAGAGTTATTAAACGGAATGAACCACTTGTGATTTCGACTCGCAGGACTTTTTCGATAAATGAGTTGAGTTCGGTTTGTTCTTTTAAGTTCGAGTTTGTTTGATTAAAACTCGAATGATTAAGGTTTTGCAAGGCTTGATAAAATAATGATTTTTATTTAATTTCTTGAATATTGATTCGCTAACGCTCGAAATTCAATCCATTAACGAATCCCAGCTCCATCTCGTAACTTAATGAGCTAAGACAATAAGGGCTCGAGTTTGAACTCGAGTATCAAGAGCTCGAGTTCGTCTCGTTTAGACTCTACAATTTAGCTACACACAATTCTAAGTCTGAAATAATAATAATAACAAAAAATTAAATGCTCCACCTATTTTCACGGTATTTCAATAACTTTAATATAGAGTTAAAGATTTTTCCCATGCATATTAACATCAACAGATATTATAAATTAATGTATTATCAATTATTTGAATTAATGTATTATCAATTATTTGATAACTCCAATAACCAAGTAGAGCCAGGTTAACTCAAATAACACCAAGAAAATAAACAAAAATATAAGGGTAAAGAAGTAATTGAACAATGTAGTTACTTGCATAAAACCAGTGAAACTATAAAAATTTCATTACAGTTTTTTCACCACTATTCAGAACTTCAACACTGATGGTTCCTGATATATTTACAAAAGTGGTCATATGGAAAAGGAGAAAAAAAATGCATATAAGTAAAGATGATTTATTATTTTTTATTTTATTTTTCTAAATTTTTTGTTGTTCATTCTTTCTTTGCAGCAGGAGCTTTGCAAACCGGGCACCAATTCTTGAGCCGCAACCACTGATTAATGCACGTCAGGTGGTAATCGTGCAGGCACACGACCAGCTTCCCAATTTCATCCCCGACTGCATACTCCTCCTGCATAAACGAGCCTTTTTTTTTTCAGTCGTTTGGAGGCTAAACAAAAGTTTAAAAAAGAGCAACAATGTCTAGGGATCATCAATCATGGGTTTTTAGTATAATTTAGTATATAATTTAGAGCTCTAGTGTCAAAAGGAAATGAAATTTCTCAAGTGTGCTTTTCAGTATAATAGACATTCAAAGATTTAGATTTAAGAGATCAAGAGAAGCAAAGCTAAATTTACCTGACAAATACTGCATTTGAGGTCATCTTCATCTTTGACCGACTCTATGAGTCTTACTCCATGTGGGCCCGCGTTGTATGTGCTCGTCTTAATGCACTCTGAAAGTGCCTCGTCCGAGAGTGCAGTGCTCACAGTACCCATTCTTTCGCCTAGAGCTAATAATTCCTGGTTAAAAAAAATAAAATAAAATAAAATAAACTTAATTTGAATGACTTAATCAAAATCTAAAACCAAAGGGGTTTGTGCTTCAAAGCATAAATTTTTATCAAAAAAACATACACAGACCTCATATGACATGTTGTCAATATCCAGCCTCATGTCTCGATGCCGATCATACAGGTTCAGTCCACTGAGAAATAAACTGGTCTCCAGGGAAAAAAATTGCTATAGGCAGCACAATTCAAAAAGGAAAAGAAAAAATGAATTAATTAAGATTACAATTTTCCTAAAATACGCATATAATATTGTAAAAGAACGACGACAATTTGAATACCTCATGCGTAAGCTCCTCATCGTGCTCGATCCTATCGATGGCTAACAACACCTTCAACAATAAAATGAGTACATAAAAAATACAATCTTTTTTTTTTGTTG